AGTGGGTACATGTGCCCCATAGCAAAAAAATCTCTCAAAAAAAAAAAACTATATATATATTAAGCAACTTGTTTCTTGAGTCCTTATTCCGGCATTCAACTCCAGTCAGACAACTATTTGGTAAAGTAGCCTTACCTCACTGCCACTATGCCTCTGAACAAAAATGGACACTTTATCCAATTAGTTATTTACTTAAACTTTTTATAATGAAAGCTTTGAACATATACAAGGGTAGACAGAATGGTATAATGAGCCCCCGTGTACTGGTCACTCAGCTTTAACATTGATTAACTCCTGGCCAATCTTATTCTATCTGCCCCATTCATTCCCATTTTATTTTGAAGTAAAACCAAGACATAAATTATTTTATCCATAAATATTTCAATATATATTCCCAAAAGTTCTGAATTGCTAAACAATAAAACAACCATTATCTCACCTAATAACGATCCTTTAATTTCATTAAATAGTCAAGCATTTCTATTGCTTTGTGTATTTTTAAACTTTATTTGAATTAAGGTCCAAATAAGATACAAACATTGTGACTGGCTTACACCTTTCAAATTTCTTTTAATTTATAGCTACTACTTTTTTACCCCATGTAACTTATTTGTTGAAGAAACTGTGTCAATTGCCATAAGAGCTTCAGAGTCTTATTTGGCTGTATAATCGGTTTCCCTGACCTTCTGTAAACTGATGGTTGGAACTACAGAACTGAAATCATTCAAGTTTGAATATGGCATGCATACTTCATACATGATGTTATAAGCCATTACGAGGCACTTAATGTCTAGTTATTTTTCTGAAATGTTGACAGCCATGGATGATCGATTTCTAAATCTGTTAATTCACTAAGGGCAGCAACGTAAGTGCTATTTGTCATAACCTTTTCACTTATTATTTGGAATACATTTAGAAACCGAAAACTCTTCCTCAAATATATGTTTAAAAAAAATACAAAATAAATGCCAGATTCTCCATTTACTAGTTTTGAATTGAATTGGTTCCCTAGCTGATTTCAATGATAATTTTTTTTAAAGTGTCACTATTCTGGGTGTGTTTCAATTCACTGTTATTAACTATACTTATTACTATTCAAATTTCCCACATTTGGGTAGTATTTTTTTTTTTAATTTATAATGTTTGTGGACATAAGAAAGGGGGAGAGAAGAGCACTCTTGACAGGGTTCCATCATGCCATAATCCCACTTGCCCAGCAGTCCAGACTGTCAGGATCCTGGACACACACACATGTGCTTAGCATGTTTACAAGCCGAACCAGGGATCTGAATCCAGAGTGAACCGTGTGGCTTCCAGCACTGCAGTTCAGTTTGTTACCAACCGTGCCATCATGCTTCCTCTTATTTGAATAGTTTATCTACATGTTCAATCTTATCTATTCTCTCACAATAGGTCTAAAAAACTAACTATTGGGTCATGTGAAAAAATCATGACATATTTTTCAATGCAAAAATGCATCATGACTTTCTAACAACCCACTATAATCTTTGAAATTTAAAATTATTTTTCCCAAGTTAAAATGTTCAAATTATCAGTAATCCTTACATTAGATCTGAAAAACAGAAAAAAACTAAGAAAGTTGTATTATTTTACTAACATTCCCTTAGCATAATATTCATAATGTAGATGTTAGCTATTTAAAACTAGAATATCCAAATGTGCTTCTCTCTCTTTAAAAAAATTCCCTTTTAAATTTGGCATTGTTTTAACACAGTTTAATTTCACTGTAGTTACTTTTTTGGGTAAAGAGGTTAATTTTATGGCTTCTTATCACATTTAATTGTTGTGCATCTCTACAGCACACAATACAGTTTTTCTAAGAACATATGCAGTACATGACAGACAAAGCAAGGTTATTACCATATACATCACTTCAATGGAGAACTTTACATTCTTAGGTCTGTTAAGTATTTCTTTGTAGTCCCTCCCACCCACCCTCTACTATCCACACCACTCCCGTACAGACTGTGACATCTACACTGGTCCTATCTACCATTATATCTTCGGGTCTTTCAATTTCTGCTCTAGAGTGTAGATATTCAGTATATAGTTAATAGGCACAAATACATAGAAACTAAACAACTTACTTCTGAAATTTAAAATTTTCCTTGAGGCATTTATTTCTAGAAGCAATTGACTCTTCAATGACTATCGATTACATTAAAATCTTTTCTCTTACCATTTGGTATGAGTTGAACATGGCCTCCCAAAAGCCAGAGAAGAGACTCAGTCACAATTTGGAAACAGTGTAATAGTTCATCTTTTTCTTCGCCCTTAACACAAAAGACAAACCCAATTTACTTTCCTGTGATTTTTCTCCCGGGTAGAGGACCTGGTTTTTGGATCTAACTTAGCGATTTATGAGATATATGATCTTGCAGCCTTTCATTTTTTAATTTGTAAAACTTGTGGTTATTGGATAGTAATACCTATCATGCTTACTAGAAATAGCTGTTATATCCTAGAATAAAATATAGTCTAAGAAATATAAACTGATACACAAAAATTTCTCAACACTTGCTATGCATCGGAATCACCTGCAGAACTTTTTAGTATACCTATGCACCACAGGCTTTAGTCTAAACATGCTGAATCTGAATCTTCAAAAGTGAAGTCTGGACATGTGTATTTTCAGTTAGGTAGGTGATTTGGCTGTGCAGCTGGGGCTGAAAACCACTATAATATGCAAATGTTGACATTAGCATGTAAGGCATTATTAACAGTGCATTTCAGTTCCAGTTCCTATTCTATGACTTTATGAGGACAGAAATCATGTCATTCATCGCCCCACTATAAACTCAGCGTCTAGAACAATTCTGACAGGTAGTAAGTGTTCAATCAATATTTATTCAATAAATAAATGACTTCCCCCCCCTCCCCTGGTTTTTGCTTTCTTTCTTTTTTTTTTGAGTGTTTTTATTATCATCATAATCTTGTTTATATTACATTGAATCACATATAACTTTACAGAGTATTATATTGCTTTTTCAAAAGGGAATGCCATGTGGGACCAGCAGTTAGCATAATGGTTATGTTGCTGGACTCCCACGTAGTCGACCGCGGTTCGCGTCCCAGACCCAGTGGCTTAAAACTCACACTGGGCGCACGTGCGTGCGTGCCCAAGATCCTAAGAGGAGAACGGAGGAGAAGGGATTGCGGCGTGGCCATCCCCGCTGGGGGGTGAATTCTTGCTTTCTGTCTCTCTGTCTCTCTCTGTCTGTCGGGGGAGCGTACGTGCCCTATAGCAAAAACCTCTCAAAAAAAAAAAAGGGGAATGCCATGCAAGTCAGTCAATACAAAGACATTAAAATCCCCATTTCAACATTCAATATCCCCTAGTTTTTGCTTTCTGAAAAGTAGGGTAAAACATTATTCTAGGTTAGAGGATCAAAATGGAAAGAAGCACAAAGTTCATTTCCAATTTTGTCATTTACTGGCCACATGACTTTAGTGGAAAACTGTATAAAGACCACTAATCTTATCCACAGCCTGAATGTTTATACTGCAGTGCAAAAGTAGCAATAACACAGGCAGAAATATTATTAATGCTGTGATTATTCTTTAAAATGATGAAAGAATTTTCTTCCTATTACTCTGGCACAGGGCTAGACAGGTGCTTAGTAAATAGACATGTGCTGACTTGAATAAAACAACCAACCAGCCAAATCAACAAACACCTATAGAAAATGTCACATTAGGTTGTTATTTCCAATTGTTGTCAATCTCAAAGGACATTACCCAGACTTCCTACTCTCCTTAAAAAGCCCATTAGAGGGCCGGGACACAGCAGCACAAGTGGCAGGCACTACTATGGAGGACTAGAACCCATGGGAGGTGTGGGTTCAGCTTTCAGCTCCTCAGATGACTTGAACAAGTGTCTCTGTAATCATGGCTGGTGAGGAGACAGGGGAGAGGACTGAGACATAGTGAGACTTTGTCTCTTTCTCATAAAACAAATAAATAAAATAAACTTTTTTAAAAAGCCCATTAGATAATATCACCCATAAGTTCATGGCTCCTGATAGAGATACACTTAAATCATTTCAAAATTCTTACATGTTTTTCTCCTCTGATGTATACACACACACATATACACATGAGCAGACTTCAAAAAGTTCACTAAAAAACAGAATTAAAGTATGAGATTATTTTGGTCCAAAAATATTTTGAAATCTATGCATAATATTTTCATAATATGTGTTTTCCATGAACTTTGTGAAATTCACCCTTTCTTGTATGTATATACAAAAAATCAGTTTGCACCATACATCCTATGTATGTCCTACTATGTGATATACTACCTACAAAGTACCCAATTAAAATAAAATTTGATTGGGATGCTCCTAGGTAGTGAAAAGTAAGTGAAAAGAGGTTTTTCCCATGACCTTTTCATCCCCCTGTTTTAATTTCAACCCATGGTCAAGTCACCCTACTGTTTCTGCAGCTGACTTACTCCTGTTGGTGAAAAAATATTTTCTCTCTATAGAAATGAAGTAATGACGATTAGGAAAGTAATGAAAAGTATGAAAAGATTATATAACTGAAAATAATTAACTGAATAAATACAGTTAGAATAAAATATTCATATTGACATGCAATCATATAATATCAATGTATAACAATTATAAATGAAAAAGTATAATTATTAACCCCTAAAGAGAGGAACATTAAATAAATGTACTTTGAAGAAGACAGTTCAAATCCTGGACCTGGTAGTTTGAAAAACACACTACACACATGTAGGTATATGCCCAAAATCCTGAGAGTAGAATGGAGCTTGGATTGCAGCATGGTCACCCCCCAGAGGGTACTCTCTCTCTCTCGTGAGCACATGTGCCTCATTGCAAAAACTAAGAAAAAAACGACCTCTATGTTCGGGTTGAAATATTTTGGTTAAAGAAGACTTAAAAGATCAAATACAGTAAAAAGTTCACTTTTATTCTTCTTAATTACTGAAGCTACTCAGAAAAGTCCTGGGCCTAGAAAACATACTTCACTGTTATTTTATGTATAAAGTATGTTCTGAGAAGACATTGTGGAAATAAGCATCCCTTCAAGACTCATAGGGTTGTCAAAAAGTTCATGGAAAATGGAATTAAAGTATATATTGATCTGGTGCAAAAGTATTTAAAAATCTGGGACCAACAGGTGGTGTGGTGGTTAAGGTGCTGGATACTCCCACGTGGCTGACCATGGTTTGAGTCCTGGACCTGGTGGTTTGGTTTCTCACTCCCACCCACCCCATGTCCCTTTCTGGTCAAATTAAAATAAATGAATGAATGAATAAAAATTAAATAAATAATTCTTTTAAAAATTTAAAAATCTATTCATAGTTTTTTCATAATATACATTTTCCACGAACTTTGAAGACCCCTTGTATTATAAGTTTTAGTTGGCATTTAAAAATTTTCAAATGTAGAAATGATAACTTATTTGATAATAACTTGAAAAATGTTTAAATCTACTACCTAACTTTACTTTAGCCAAATATTGCACATTTTATAAATAATATGAAACAGCTAAAGAATTAAACCTATTTGGTTTTAAAACACTAAACAAACACATACCTTAACTGCATTGATGAAACATGTTTGCAATCGTCTCCCCAAAACTAGAAAATTTTCTGCAGCTGATGGAAGGAAATCATTGTAAAATTCCTCTGAATCTTCTCCTGGCTCCAAGCCCACACAGCAATGGCTGAAATAAGAGCACAAGTAAGTGTTAATTATAAATGTCAGTTGAATGCTCAAGTTTCTACAGATACTGTGTCTTAATTAGAATATTTAGTATCCTTTTTTTTTTTATCGTCAATAGGAACTTTGCTAGAAAATTCTTTTTTCTTTTCTTTTTTTCTTGTGGGGGAGAGATTTTGCTATAGGGTGCCTGTGCTTGCCAGAGAGGCAGAAAGTGAGAAATCACATACCCAGTGGGGATGGCCACGCCGCAATTCCTCCTACTCTCCTCTTGAGATTCTGGGCATGCATGCACACATGCCTGGTGTGAGTTTCAAGCCACCAGATCTGGGACTCAAACCACAATCAGCCCACGTGGGAGTCTAGTGCCCCAACCACTACACTACCTACTGGCCCTGAAAATTATTCTAACAACTTTCTAAAAACTTAAACAGCAGTGTGGACCTTGCTTGTACTTAGATCCAGGATTCATATGTCCTAAAAATCTACATGTCAACCCTTCAGGAAATTAATGACTTGTAAGAAAGAGAACAGAGTCAAACTTTCAGTAAATTGACTACAATGAGTGCAAAACCATGTTATACCTTGACAGTTAAATTTATGAATAGTATTTGCGTTAACTGTTGCATTTTAGACATATGGCAGCTAAAAAGTAACTATTAGTCTGCAAGGGGATAGATAAGGATAAAACACTCTAATTTTTTTTTTTTTGAGAGGTTTTTTGCTATAGAGCGTGTGTGCTTGCCAGAAAGACAGAGAGAGACAGAGAGACAGAAAGCAAGGAGTCATCCTCCCGGGGGGATGGCTACGCCGCAATCCCTTCTCCTCCATTCTCCTCTCGAGATCTTGGGCATGCATGCACACACACCCAGCGTGAGTTTAAGCCACCGGGTCCGGGACTTGAGCTGCGGTTGACTACATAGGAGTTCAGCGACATAGCCATTACACTAACTGCTGGTCCCCAAACACTCTAATTTTATAGCAATTCTACTTTCCAATACATTTACTTCCTAAGATCTGTAAAATATTTGCCTGCATATTCCCTTATTAAGACGAAAAACAGGGACCAGTAGAGGGCTATGTCACTGGACTCTCATGTAATTGACCGCAGTTTGAGTATGAATCTAGTGGCTTAAAACTCACAGAGGGAGAGTGTCCATGTGTGTCCAAGAGTCTGAGAAGACGGAAGAGAAGGGATTATGGCATGGCATCTGTCCGGGGGCTGGAGGGGAGGGTGATTTCTTGCTTTCAGTCTGACTCTCAAGCGAGCACACAAGCCCTATAGCAAAAATCTCTCTCGAAAAAAAAAAAAGGGAAACCAACAAAAACCTAACTCTAGCAGAAACTGCATATAACTCCTCTCTGGAGAGGAGCTATCTTCAGAAATCTCAATAATAGAAAGCATTTGTGAGGTTCAGGTGTGGTGGCATGTGCTGCTAAGGATGCTCTGCAGACTGGGACCATATGAGAGGCCTAGGTTTGATTCATAGTCCAATCTAAAGGCTCGGCATGGTGGCATGTCTCTGCAAACCCAGATACTCTGGGAGCATGAGGACTGCAAGCTTGAAGTTGGCCTGACAACATAGCTGAGATCCTTTCTAAAATGAAAGAGCCCGGCAAGGTGCCATGAGCCTATAGTCCCAGCTGGAAGACTGCAGTAGGAGGATCACAACTCTATCTTTAAAAAAAAAAAGGGGGGGGGGAGGTTTTGTATAGACTAATACCAAAGAGAGTCCCCAACCCAAGAATGATCTTATATATATATATTCTAATTAGCAAATACTACTGTTCAGTCTTTTCAATAAAATGTGCAGACACCAATAGGGAGTAATGACTACATATTAAACTTGCTAAAAACCGAACTTGCTAATGTTCACATGCGTCAAGGTTTATTTTTGTTTGTTTGTACTTCAAGTCCTAAAGTTAGTGGTTAATGATCATATGGACTAGTTTTTGTTTTTCCTTTGGTCTCTGAAGTTAATTATTTAACAACATCTATTTTGACTGAGAGCATTAATAACTGAAATTATATTTTGTCTATTCACAAACACATGAATTTCTTATGTCTTAAGAGTTCACCCAAGAGATCCTGGATCAAGCAGTAGTGTCATGAGTTAACTTGTCTAATCAAAACAAAAACATAAGGCTTTATTTAATTAAGGAAATTATGAGTCTTAAAAATCAAAGTATAGGGGTCCGGCAGGTGGCGTGGTGATTAAAGGTGCTAGACTCCCACATGGCTGACCACAATCTGAATCCGGGACATGGCGGTTCGCTCACTCTCTCTCGTCAAAATTAAAAAATAATGATAATAAATCTATAATTTTTTTAAAAAAAATCAAAGTGTAAAAAAGGATATTATGTATATTTTTAATTGTTCTTTATAACTGTATAGTTTGAATTTGACTTTTATCTAGCATAAAATTAGGAGTAAGCAATTCAGAAAACTAGGATCCAAGACATAGTATAAATATGACAAAACTCCTTCAATGTGGCTAATTCATTAAAATCAAATGACTTGTTTAAAAAAAAAAAGAAAAAAGAAAGGCATCTAAGGTCCAGTTAGTTTAGACAATCAGAAAGTGGCTTAGCGGGAACCAGCAGTTAGCATAATGGCTATGTCGCTGGACTCCCACATAGTTGACCGCGGTTCCCATCCCGGACCCAGTGGCTTAGAACTCACGCCGGGCACGTGTGCATGCGTGCCCAAGATCCTGAGAAGAGAATGGAGGAGAAGGGATTGCGGTGTGACCATCCCCCCTGGGGAGTGATTTCTCGCTTTCTGTCTCTATGTCTCTCTGTCTGGCGAGCGCACGCACCTTATAGTGAAAACCTCTCCAAAAAAAAAAAAGAAAGTGGCTTAGCTACTGAGAACAGCTTGTTTATTTTATGACCTCCTTTTAAAAAATTATGTTGGGACCAGCAGTTAACGTAATGGCTATGTCGCTCGACTCCTACGTAGTCGACCGCGGTTCACATCCCGGACCCGGTGGCTTAAAACTCACGCCAGGCACGTGTGCGTGCATGCCCAAGATCCCAAGAGGAGAATGGAGAAGGGATTGTGGCGTGGCCATCCCCCGGGGGGGGTGATTTCTCGCTTTCTGTCTCTCTGTCTCTTTCTGTCTGTCTGGCGAGCACATGCGCCCTATAGCAAAAACCTCTAAAAAAAGAAAATTATGTTGATCTCTTTTCTATTACTTTCTAGCATGTCAGTAAATTAGTAAATGGTGCTTTTAAATCTTATTGACAGGATTTGGGTTACCTAATGAAATATACAACTGACACAAATTGAAAGGATCAGTTTCTATACCTGTTCTAAAGTACTCTGTTCACAGACTTTCATTTTAGTACCTATTTCCCTCTATCCCATATAATACATTCTTTAAAGAATTATTATATTTAACTTTACTTGTTTATTTATCAATTATTTTTTTAAAAATTGGCCAGAGAGGGATTGGGGGGGGAGAGTGAGAAAGCAAGCCGCCAGGTCCAAGACTTGAACTGCAGTCAGCCATGTGGAATCCACTACCCTTAACCCCCCACCATGCCACCTTCTGGCCCCATATCATATATTTTTATGACTAAATTTCTGTAGTAAGTTTCTTGAGTATAAAAGCCTATATTTTAATTTCTTAATCTATTCAACTACATTGAAGAGTCGGGGCCAGTGGATGGCATGGTGGTTAAGGGTGCTGGACTCCCACATGGCCACCTGCGGTTCAAGTCCTGGACCTGGTGGTTTACTTTCTCACTTTCTCTCTCTCTCTCCCTTTCTCTCTCTATTCCTCTGTCCCTCTCTGGTCAAATTAAAATAAATAAATAAAGTTAAATTAAAAAAAAAAAAAAGAGTCAACGAAGCATATATAACATTAAGCACTCATGACTAAGTGGTAAGCAAAAGAAATGATCACCATCTTCATGAAGCTCGAGGAGGGAACTTTTAGGCAAATAACTCCAAGTAGAACTATGAGCAATAGCAAAATATGAAGGTAAAATAATACAATCAAAAACTATCATGGGGCTAGCTAAATGGCATAGCAGTAATAAGCTATTCAAGTGAAGCCAGATCCCATAAAGAAGCCATGGTTGGGATCCCTAACCTAGACAGCCAGAAACATGCAAGAAATGCATATGAGTGCTTAGGATCTACCATGCTGGAAGACTGGAAGAAAGGGCTTGCAGTGTGACCAGACCCTGTAGAGTGCTCATCTCTCTTCCTCTCTCTCACACACATGTATAGACATGTACTCTATCATGAATAAAGAAAAAAAAAGAAATCTCACAGGAAGTTGACAGCACTTGTTACGAAAATGAATAAAGAAGAAGCCAATGTTAAAAATGAAATCCAGGACCAGCAAATAGCATAACTTTTACATCACTGGACTCCCACGTAATTGACTGCAGTTCAAACACCAGAACTGGAGGCTTACAACTCATGCCAGGAACGGGTGCACAGGTGCCCAAAATCCTAAGAGGAGAATGGAGGAAAAGGGACTATGGTGTAGCTCCACCTCTGGAAGTGATTTCTCACATTCTGTCTCTCTGTCTCTGTCTCTCTAGCAAGTGCACACAGTCAATAGCAAAACTCTCTCTAAAAAAATAAAAAATCAGAATCCACTGCTATACCCACAATAACAAACTCATTTATTGTTAATTTTACCTTAATATCTGTGTAAGCTGAGAAATTGTAGTCCAACCACCCTGGATTCGTGAACAATCTTGACTGAGGACCAATAGGCAATACTGAATGAGGTCATAACAATATATATCTTGCTTGATTTTCTTCAACTCTGAGCTTCCTAAAGGCACGTTGTTTATTATTTCTAAGGCAAAAGGAAATAAGATATACTTATTTTTCTCAATATATCTAAGAGTTATTTGTATTCATATATGTTAAATAATTACTAAACATCATAGTGTTAAATTTTTCCAAACCAATTAGAAACAAATGCTAAAACTGTATGAACGATGGACTATTTTTAACTTAAACAAGGTTCTCCAATTGCAAAAAGATTTTCTTACCTTTTAACTTCAATAGTATAACAGGGACATTCTGCTCAGGACTCTTTGCAACTTCAGCAGCTAGCGATAAAATCCTCGGGTCTGTACCTGTTGGCTTCATTTCTCGTATTACCTATATTTTAACAGAATCAGAGAATAAAGTAAAAAAGCTCTAAATATTAATACTTAAGTAATGTTTGAAATATGAGGTTACTGTAAAAATTTTGTGGAAAATGACATTAAGTTTATTTTGGTGCAAATAAATTTTATAATCCATGTATATTTTTTCCATAATATGCATTTCCCATGATCTTTTTGAAGACCCCCTCAAACATAATTTAAACAAAAACAACTTTTCTTGATTTGGAAGTGATGTACAGATTTTACTTCTTCCTTATAGGAAACTGTTTTCTAATCAGTGTAACTCTGAAAGAGCTCTCAATCTCTGTATCTCACATGTAACAGCTATAATAGATATTTATTTTGTATTCACTAAGAGTCAGGAACTGCGGTAGGAGCTTCACATTCACTAATACTAATCTGTACAGTAATTCTAGAAGAGGAATTAAATTCCTTTTCTCATACTAGGGAAACTGAGAGCCCGTAATCATTTCCAGTTTATAGATAATAAAGTTAAAACTTGGGAACTAGCAGTTAGCGTAATGGCTATGTTGCTGGACTCCCATGTAGTCGACCACGGTTCGCGTCCCGGACCCGGTGGCTTAAAACTCACACTGGGCGCGTGTACGTGTGTGCCCAAGATCCCGAGAGGAGAATGGAGGAGAAGGGATTGCAGCATGACCATCCCCCCCCAGGCGTGATTTCTTACTTTCTGTCTCTATTGTCTCTCTCTGTCTGGCACGCGCCCTATAGCAAAAATCTCTCTCAAAAAAAAAAAAACCCATACCATCTTTGGTGGCTGCCTTACACTCTGGTTCACTGCTAAATCACCAGTGGCTAGACTAATGCCTGGCAAGTGATAGATACTCAATAAATCCATATTGAAAAAGTAAATAAATAGGGACCAGCAGTTGGCATAATGGCTGTCACTGGACTCCCATGAAGTCAACCACAGTTTGAGTCCCGGACCCGGTGGTTAAAAAAAACTCACGCCAGGCACGTGTGCGTGTGTGCCCAAGATCCTGAGAGGACAATGGAGAAGGGATTGCGGCGTGGCCATCTGCCCTGGGGGGTGATTTCTCACTTTCTGTCTTTCTGGTGAGCGCATGCACCCTATAGCAAAAACCTCTCCAAAAATAAATAAATACATACACACATACATACACACACACACACACACACACACACACACACACACCTCTTGGGCATTTTTTTTTTTTTGGAGAGGTTTTCGCTATAGGGCGCGTGCGCTCGCCAGACAGACAGAGAGAGACATAGAGACAGAAAGCGAGAAATCACCCCCCAGGGGGGATGGTCA